CATGTTTCCTCCAGGTTACCGTGTGTTCTATAACAGTTTTTATTTGCATAACAATCAAACTTCTTTTAAGTATTTACATTACAATCAAACTAGGAATATATTTAACAGTTTGTCATGGCAGACTTGATTATTTTAAGCAACAGAGACATGAAATAAGAGAGAACACATCTTACAAAGGTACAGACTGAGTCTATACTCAAATGTAAAACATAAAGAAACAATAGATTCAATCTTAATGTATTTGAATATTTACCCCAATAACTTCTTCGGGTTGTGGACGCTGATCCCTAGGGCGATCACAGAAGTTCTTGTACTCCTCTGCATCTCTGATAGCATATGTGCTTACCTAGATGTTTGTACAGGAAGATAAAGAAATCTTATTAGCAACGGATAATGGAATTAAAGGCTGCAATATTATTACCAGTGCTTGTTTTCCATCACCGGATCACCCCACACCCGCCCCCCCCCCCCCAAACTAAAGGGCAGGAGAGTTGTTACAAGAATTCTAGAATTCAGCTGCATGAACACTAGGCAACCATGTCGGGAAGGTGTATTATTCCCACTACAGTCAGTGCAGAAAGATTATTTTCCTATCAACCAGAAGACCATCATCATACCTTCATGCTACTACCTAGACTCCTGATAATCCTCCTCACCCACACCCACTGACAATAAATTAGAATGAATAATTATTCAAGCAAACAAGCCTGTAAGTGAAGTAGAATTGTACCCAATCACATTATACTACATGATGCAATAATAAAGGATGATGGTTCTACACTAAAGTATGTGTTTTAAATTTATGCTGCTCATGCCAAACATAAGTGTGAAGAGGCTTAGCAAGGGGAGTAGAATTCAGAGCAAAGTTTAGTCACAGAAATATGAATTTGGACCAACCTCAACATCACATTTCAACTCCTTTGCACAAGGCTTGACCATGAAAAATCTCTGCAAAAGAGTTCTGTTAGAATTCAAGTACTAAAGTTCCCTCAGCTATAAGAGCAACTAATCAAATTAAAAACTTCTGCCATCTTATGTGATTATGTATGTTTCAGCAATCAAAGCAAACAAGACAAAGAACTGGACTAGAGTTATCAGGTCTATAATGCCACGGATCGAAATGTCAAGAACAAGAAAAAAATTATTGGATTTCACTCACCTGTCTGAAGGGTTTGTGCGGTGTTCGCCAAAATGCCTACAAAACAAAATTAGATCCATCATAAAACTGATCATTGTTGGTTCAAACCTGGAGCATGAAAAAAAACAAATCGAGATATAGAGATACTTACCTGCTCAAAATATAAAACCTTAGAGCCATCTACCATGTCTGCAGCAGGACAGGAAAGCCATCTAGACATAAAAATATGAAAGGTGAATAAAAGAAAATTTTCAAATAACAGAACTTCCACCGTGTCTTTTCTACATCAAGAGATGACCATATGCTAGAGCCTAGAAGCAAAGCTCTTGGAGAGAAGCACACTCACATGCCTGAGGGGATCATTGGGAGATTGATATCCAAATTATGAAAGGTATGCATCCTAAAGTTTGTGACTTCCGCACCCAAGGGTGTGACCTAGTAGTGATCAATGAAGTGGGTTGACAATCATGACGTCTCAAGTTCAAATCCTAACAGAAGCAAACCCACTAGGTGATCTCTTCCAATCTATTGAAGCTTTGATGGATAGAGTCACTCGCTACATGTGTTGGTGGGAAGTACCCCATGAAATTAGTTGAGGCGCGCACAAGCTAGCCTAAACATAACATTTCTCAAAAAGAAAAGTTTGTAACTTTGCAGGCCAATCGAGCAACAACATACAAAAGTGCCAAAATATCAACATTTAATACTATATGTGTTTTTCTCCTTCTACACCTCCAATAATAAAATCCACTAAGCCTCAATACAGACCAGTTGGAGGTTAGTTGCTCTATCAGCTAAATTCGAGCCAATCTCCTATCATGAAATTGAAGTTAATAAGATTCAACATACATTACATTTCTTAGCTATTATACAGCTGGGGAACCGGTATGCAAAACTCACACAAGCAAATTTGGCAGCAACAATTTCTAACACAAATCCAAAATCAAAAGAGTAAACAGTGAAACTTCAAATGAAGAATGTAATACCTGAAATTAAAATAATTATCAGGATCCCTAACCGCTTGCTCCTTTGAAAACTACAATAGAACTCAAAAATATCATTTATTATCACTGGCACAGTTCTAGAGACGCAAAAGATAGCAGAGATGGAGAGCAGTAAGTCGCAAAAAAAGTACCTTTTCACCGTTAAGTGACTCTGCGACAATTCGAGCATGGTCCCAACGTGTGGTCGATTTAGTTAGCCGCCGGAGCAATAAGGCTCCTCCGACGAGCACCAGTGACTTGAGGACCGCTCCACGAGCTCGGCTCCACCCGTTTGAGTCAGGATCCGACTTAGAATTCGAACCCAAACCCGAGTCCGAGCCCGTACACATGCCGGCGCTTAACACTTAAAGTGGACTCTTCAACAGCAGATTATTTAACCGATAAATCATCTTAAGCTTCTGCTTCCCAGCTTTCTGCAAAATGTGAACTACTGAAAATGGAGTAATAATTTGTACAAACGTTGCCTCACGCCGTCCGATCAATTACCACCACTTGTTTTTCAGATGCAACGATACAAAACGACTTGGGATGGTAGAATCTTACACTGGGCTGAAGCCCATATCATTAGCCCAGCCTCAAAGGCCCACTTACTACATCAATACCCTCTCGGTCCCATATTAGATGGGAATCTTACTAAAAATATTGGAGAAACTGAATAAATGTCTTATAAATACAAACTAATTACAAACATATGCCTCTTTACATTGATGTCTCAATTGACAGTTTCATTTAAATGATACTAAATCATATAAATATATATCAGTGTTTTCAAAAATGTTTTTCGGCAAGTCTCGGGGCAGGGCATATCAAAAACGCTCTGGGGCGTAAATTAAAGACGTAGATCCATAAGGCATAAGCCTAAGCATAAAAACGTAAGTCCTGGGCGTAAAAACGTATGCCCGAGCGTTTTTAATTTATTTTTTTGAACATTTTTTGCTTTAAATCATATTTTTATTATTGATGTTATGATATTTCTCAAATAGTAATTATAATACTTTTTTTCTTCATTATTGATTATTAATACTTATCTCAAATAAAGATCATAAATCATTGAAAAGTTTACTTTTGCTTATTTTATTAGTAATAAAACTATAAAATTGAATATATATGAGACTACGCCCCGTAGATCCGTGGGTTATACCTCGTGTCTCGGGGCATACGTCTCGCCCTGTACGGTATAAAATGCCTCGCCTTTTAAAACACTGATATATATATTGTATTAATATCATTAAGATTTTTTGTTATGTCATACTCATTATATATATAGTTGTGATATTATTAAGGTTTCTTGTTTTACACCCTACTAATTAGTCAATGATATTAAGGTATATTGTTGTGGTATTTTTTTGTTTTCTTCGATAGGAAAGCGAAACAAAGTTATTCCAGAGCTCTAAAACGAAATGGTGACTTTTATAAGGGACTGCACCAGTTGGACTATTTCTAAAGACCCAAAATTATACAATTGAACACCCTTTCCTCTTTTAAACTTGATTCCAAACATTTGGGAAGAAGATGATGTTTGGCTCAAAAAGATATTTTTTGCAATATTTTTAGTTTTGCAAAAACTGATTTGTTTTAAAACCAAACATAAGCTATTAGTTTAGTGGTAAGAGAAAGGAAAAATGTTTAGTAAAGTCCAAGAATTAGTAAATCCTACCCCAGAAACAAACGAAATACAACTATCCCTTTTCCATTTTCCAGCTCCTCTATTTGTCTTTTCTAATACTTGATGCAAGTGATAGTTTACCTAAATTTAACGGAGGAAGGGAAATTTGGCCTAAACTAAAGAGGGGGTATGAACTATAATTTATTTTGGGTGAATGAGTTTTTTGCTGAATTAGTTTGGGTTGGACTATGAAATTGTAATTAATTTGTAGTTTGTGGCCAATTTATGTAGTTTCCCCAAAAATATTTATCTCATATTACTTGATCTCTTACTAAATCAAGATAGTATTACTTTTTTTTTTTCATTTTACCGCTTAATTAATATGGCTGTTGGAAGTTTAAACAAAATTAGAAGATTTAATTTTATTTTCAAGAGGCTAATTAATATGAACAAAGGGTAAAATAGTAAAGTTAATCAATTAATTAATAATTTCTTAATTACCGTGTATAATAGAAAGTGCCCATCTAATATAGGTCGATGGAAGCAACTTTCGGAATTGGTGATTTTGAATTTTTGATCACCTCATGGCTTATTCTATTGACAATTTTTTAAGGTTAAAACTTGTTACTAGTATTATAAGTCTACTTTCATCCTTTTCCTGAGGTAGATACTTTTTTTCGTGCTTCTTAATTTAATGTTGACTAGTATATAAGGAAAAGGAAGCTCACATAATGTGAACTCTTTGATATTTTATGCATGAAACAATTGAGGTAAAAAAAAATTTAAGGTCATTTAACTTTAAAATGATTGTTGTAAACCCCTCTATAAAGTCTCCATTATTAGACGTTTGGACATAACAAATGTGATATTTTGTTTAAAAAAAAAAGTTTGACATTTTGTGAATAGAAAGATTATCACTTGATTGACCAGTTTTTATGGACAAAGGGAATAATAAGGCAGATCAATAAATTTTAAGTCTCGTAATTAAAAAATAATTGTCATAAAGTTTCAAATTTCACATTATTATGAAGTATACATTGTATTAACTGGTTAAAATAGGTTGCTCTTGAAATTCTAGGAACCTCTAAGCTCAGGGAGTACATACCTTAATATATATGAATAGCTAATAAGCAAAATAAAATATTTAGACCTTATGGAAGTAAAAACAAGTTTCTTAAATGATTTTTCAAGTTCATTATCTTCTCTCTAGCCTAGACCATTTACCACCAAACTTTCACTCCCGGTATTTTTCTAGATTACAAACAAATAATTTTGAAATAATCTTTTGTGCACTGGATATCAAACACATACGGTCACCAGTCACTGAAGTGTCGTCAATGCCATATGAAAGTGCAAATTAAAAGGGATGCGTATGTATTTGTAGCATTACAAACTCAAAACACGGGCTTATCCAAGTAGCAGTAGGTATATTGTTGTCATACATCTTCGTTCATTTGTCACTTTTAAATCTTCTCTCAGCGAGAAGTGAGTGATCTTGAACTTGTCGATCTTGCAAAGTTTTCTTTCCCTTTTCAATCTCCTTGAAGCAGTAAGCGGGGGCTTGCCACTTAGAATCCTCCAGCACTTTCCCCACCTCAAAAGTCATAATATGTTCGATCAATCCTGCATTATTTCACATATATCCAGCATTAAATTACTTCATCACACATGAAAAAAATTAACATATGCAGAGAGGCCGAAAAAGGAAATGACTTTTAAACTTAACACAGAAGTTAGCTCATGAAATGAGTATTACCGAAAAACTCTATAAACAGATACATCATACGTTTTAAATCATTAAACAATGTGTTCTAACAACCTGCAAACCCCAGAACCAAATTCGGAACACGAGTACGGAAAAATACTGATTTTTTTTGTTGTTGATGAATACGGAATTTTGTGAGTGAAAAATTATCTGTGGGCAAGCGGACACTTAGACTTTTATATATGTAATTAAATGAATCATGAGTCTAACTCAATCCGAAATTAGCGGCAATTGCTCAAAATCATATAATAAAAGCATATTTAAATGGGCATACCATCATTAAAATGCCAATAAACAGGTATCTGGGTAGCAACATCTTCATAGTAGTGTATGAAATCAATCTTATCCCAAACATTACAGAGGAATCCATCTTTATACCTCTGGCCCATATAATTTGCACCTTCAAGCCAATTAGGTCTCAAAATTCCCACAGGGAAATGCCTGATTGTGCACTCCTCGGTAGAGTCCAAAGTGAAGTAAAATGAAGTGCCGTTCTGCCATTCAACACCGTACAATTTTTTCCCCAATTGGTATTGGTTTATATGCAAGTACCTTTTGTTAGGCCAATCGTACCAGAGATCCACTTTCCGGAGACCTCCTGTGTAGTTCATGATGGTAGTTGCATGGAACTGGTGCGGCCATGGTGATGGAATTGGGTCTGTTGAATCTGATTCCAATGCAATTGAAGGAATCCACAAAGGGGATAAGGTGAAAAGGAAGATGAAGTTGATAGGAAAATGCATTTTCTTCTTGATTCTCTTTATTCCTTTAACTTAATTTTTGGAGACAAAATATAAAAGGTGAAGTGAAATCGAAACTCAAAAGGGAATGTGTGGATCATACAGCACAGAAAACAAAGTAGATAAGGTCCATGTCACTCTAGGTTGCTTCATTTCTCAAGTAAAATAAAAAAATATTATTAGCAAAGGAATAAAATATTTTACCAAGACTTGAAAATAAATATGGTTACCCATACGGGCCGCTTTTTCAGTCGAAGAATAGTGATTGCGAGTTCTCCTTTGGATAAAAATAAATATATTGGTCAATGAACACAAACGTAGAAGGCAGAATGTTATTTCTTTAGGAGTACGTATGCGGATGGATTTAGTGATCTTTTAAAACAGCTAATGCTTATAATTATAGAACAAGACATATTTTTAAGTAGTTAACTATCCAATATGCTGTAGTATGCATTGCTAATCTGTACTAAAAGTTACAAATAGTACACCAAAACACAGGCAAATGATCTAATCCAGGATGTGTCGATGTGATTATTAGAAAACCAGACCACCCTTTCAGCTCTTCCCAAAGTTAACACATCCTCCAGAGTTTGACGACTAGGTAATCAACTTAACAGCTTGTACCGATACAGATTGTTTCCCATCAGCAATATCAATTTTCAGTAGGCTCTTGGTAGCATCTTGTAACACAAGTACTCTAGCTTTTATCTGTACTCATGTCACATTTTCGTTCAAAAGCAAAAGAAACTGGGCTGATTCTTGAATTTGTTTTCAATGCCCACTTTAGAAGTTTATTTCACGCCTCTCAGCAAAAAACTTACCACTCACAAACTGGTCTGAGATAAGAGCAAGCCAGACTGCAGTATCAGCAGCAACTTCGGGAGATGTATGCCCAGCCCAATCGGTCATGGCAGTCTTCACCCAACCTGGGCAATAGCAATTCATATATATCTTATGGCCCTCTGGCTGGTCAGAAAGTATCCTCGCCATTAGCCTGGTGTAAGCATTAGCAGCAAGCTTTGACAATGAGTAGTCTGTGAATACTTGTGGCCATCCCCCAGATTCCCATGTTCCATTTTTTACTTGTTCCAAAAATGAGTTCACAGTACTATCAATCAGTTCCTCTGATAGGGAATCGTTATCCTCCAGTTGTTGTCTCAAGCTGACATTTGCAATTCTCTGGTGGGCATCAAACAAAAGTAGATCATTTTGAGATGCGAAGATAAAAGCTATTTGCATATTAGAGAACTCAAGAAGTTATTGCTTTTGACGAATAACAAATATCTCCTACGAAGCATTATAAGGGTGCAGTATTGAAAAAAAATGACTACGAAGTAAAAGAACAAAAGGAATACTCTTCCAACAAGATGAACAAGGGCAATAAGAGTGAGAAGAAGAATATAAATGAAAAGGAACACTAAGGCACTTACATTCCGTCTGCCGTTAAGTCTTCCCAGTCGTGAGGTCACATTAACAATACGAGCGCCAAAAGGAGAAGGCCTCATTAATGGAATCATAGTTTTAATCATACTTTTGGTGCCGAAGTAGTTGGTCCGGATAACAGTTTCTGCATATTCCACTGAATTATCTGTGCCGAAATTGAAATTGACTCCTGCATTATTGATCTAAATACTTCCATATCATTAGCCGAAAGGGTCAGATTTGCCAAAACAGTTAACAGACAAAATTGATAACCACATGAAAGTAAAATAACACCAAATATAGCATAATGCCCCTCCTTGCTCCCCCACCCCAAGCAAAATAAAAGGAAAATGAAAAAATAATAACTAAGAACATGGTCAAACTGTGAAGTACAAGAAAAATTAGCACCTGGTAGTATGCTATTGTAACCAGTACGGTTCTATACAGTAGTGAAGCAAGGATTTTCACTAACGGGAGTCAACATATAGAGAAGTAACCACATGAGGAATTGAAGAGATTCAACATATAGTATATAAGCATTAAAAAATTCATATCTAAGCAATGTCATTTTCCAGTAAAGGCGAGTCAATTGACACCGCATTGGACAAGGTAGCTCTGCAAGTGGATGTATATGCGACTGGATCAATGCTAGATTACAACAACAACAACTACGTCTCAGTCCCAAATAAGTTGGGGTCGGCTATATGAATCCCCATTTCTTCATTTAAGCTCATATCGTATCATCATCATAAAGATATGATAGAGTAGACAAACCAATGCTAGATTATAAAGAGAAAATAGAGTAGATGGATTACCAGTATATCTAAACCACCATAGTTTTCCTTTATCCAGTCAGAAAATGTTTCAATTGATGCAGGGTCCACAATATCCAATTGATGAAATACCACATTCAAACCTTTTTCTTGCATGATTTTTGTTGCTTCTTCACCAACACGAGTCTCTCGTGATGTAAGAACTACTGTTAAGCCATGTGATGCCAGTTGGTGAGCAATTTCAAAACCAATTCCTCTGTTTGAACCAGTCACGACAGCCATAGTTTCATTTGACCACCATCTGAAAATCATCTTCCGTCTATAAGTGTAATGCTCAGAATCAACATCCTAAAGTAAACCAATTTTAACTGGATGAACCATATTCCATCTTGATAATTATGCCATGGAAATAGTGATTATCCAGACCATCTGATAGCTAATAGGAACAATTAGCCAAAAGATTATGAAAACACTTTGGAGCGTCATCTTAATTAATTACCGAGACTGATTGGCAAGTAATCAAAGAACTAATAATTTTCCAATGATACAGTCACTTTAGGTCATGATTCATAGGAACTCTTATAATATGTTGCATAGATCATAGATGAAGTACAGAGGCAGCTTTGGGAGAATGGAAGTAAACCAATTGTACACCAAATCATTATTCTCATATTTCTTCTCTAAATCTGCTATTAAGCTGATTATACAATCAACGATGTCATTGTTTCCCATCTAACAATACTAGAGCAAACATGCAGAAATAATGCACCAAGCATAACCGTTTTAGGTTTCTATTCTTTGAATGGGGTTCTAAAAACACCTCACATCTTTGCATTTCTAATTTCATTGTAGCAAAAACATACTTCTAACCAGTGGCGAATTTACAGCCAAAAAATAGGGCACCCGCACCCGTGGTCTCTTCGTAAAATTAGATATTTTATATGTATATTTTTAAAGATTTTTTGTATAATATTATATTCTTGCACCCGTACTACAA